TTAAGTAAATTATACTGTTCCAGGGTTACTTTTTACAAGCCATGTTTGAATTTGCTGAACCTGGTTTATATATAAAAAAAAATTCTGAACATGTTTTGCTAGAACAAACTCTGTCGGTACGGGCAATATTCTTTATAGTACTTGCAGAATAGCTGTGTAGTGCACAATATCAGCTGCTTGAGGTCATGATTAATGCAGGTTATATTCTATTGAGTAAAATACACAAGCAGATCCTGAACTTGTCCTGTGGTATATTCAGGTCCCCGAACTCTCAAAGTACATTTTTTATGTCCAAACTCGTCCTTGGTGTCATCTGTAGTTCCTAAACTCTTAAAATTTCCATTTTTAGGTACTCGGAATTGTCTCATGGAGTCATGGTGTCATCTAGGTCCCTAAAATTACCATAGGGTATCATCTAACTCTAAACCAGTCCAAATCCGCTCCACACTTTGACGTTGTATGCCATGGTGGTTGGATCCATGCCTCATTCTTGATTGTTGCGGGAACTCACTAGCAAGGTAGACCTCCACCTATCTCTTTCGCCTAGGTAGGAAGCACCAACTTTGGCCTCATCGTCTTCACTACAGGATGTCATGACCTCAGATATGGAGGATGGCGACGGTGATGCGGTGCCACACTAGATTAGAGCGCGGGAGAGAGAGGGGAAGAGGGATGGGAGAGCATGGAGATGGAGCACCACATGCTGACATGTGGGATCGATTGTCGTGTCGTAGGGCTCATTTATTAGAATTGGATGAACCCGTGACCAGTTATGGGACCTAAAAAATTGGCATGATGCGGTGTTGGGTGGCAAGGGGATTTAGAGGAATTCCATTACTTTGCCGATAATCTTAAGGCCTCGTTTGACTATCCGTGTAACAGGGTGTATCAGGGCCCAAAACATGTCACACATGGAAGACAGCCCACGCCGGAGTAAGGTCCCACGGTCGGTCTAAATTTGCATTTGGCAGATCGTGGGTTGGAGTGGATCACGGCCCGATCCACGTCGACCCACGGGTGAGAGAAAAATCTCCACCTGTGGCGTGGAATGGTGGAACTCAGGACCTCGTGGCTCGCGTGCTGGCTCCTCGTGCACCGCCGCCTCCTCGAGGTCCCAAGTCTCCTCCCCTATCTCATCTCGTCTCCCTTCCCCTTCTCCTCCTCGCCCCCCTGCTTTCTTGCGAGATCCGTGGGGTATAACGACTAGGGGCTTTGTCGTATGAGTTCTTACTATCTAGCCTCGAATGCTCGAGCTTTGTTCTTTTGGTCTTTGTTTGACCGATCTGTCTACCTTTGTACGGCACTCCCCAAGCTCAAGCCCTGTGCAAGGCTTCCTGGACTCACGGCTAATTGGCAAGTGCAGGTAGTAGGCAGATTGTTTATTTGCCTATTTTATTACTTGCTTCTGAATCACAAGAACTTCGTCTTTGATGTTGAGGAAATAGTGTACAGATGTTAAATTTAAGTACTTTGACAGGTAGGTCTATTGAGATAATTTCTGTTTAGAAATTTTGCTAGTTCGTATGATTTGCTAGTTTAACATATCTAGCAGTAGTTTCGATTGCTTTGCTGTTTACAAATCAAGATAAGACTTGTGTTTTAATTACCATCACATGATATGTCCCGATACCGAGTGCAAATGTGCAGTGATGATATTTGAGATGCTTATCTATTCTTTCTATTTTTTCTACAAGATTTCTATATTTTCATTTGTGAATTCGTATTGATGATATGTTTCAGCTTACAATGTCAGTCCTGCTCCTGTAAATTTATGGCAAATATAACATCTTTATTTTGCAGTGGCTCTGAATTTTTTTAGCTGGGCCCTCTGTAAAGATGAAGTCAATGGCTGTGTGTGTGTTTGCCGCACAGCCTTCATAATCAGCATTCATATCTTCATCCCAGTCATATTTTGTAGGTAAAAGCTATAGAAATATATCTCCATGAGTCCATAGCTGTGTGTTTAATGTGGTGAATGTACTAAATTATTTTCATACGACCATGTTCCATCCTGCATTTATCACAGCTGGATCAAAGATTCAAAGATGAAGGAATAATTATTAGGTTGCTCCTGCCAATAGTAATGATTGATTCACCACTGGTAGCTTTCCTGTGCATGTAATTTTGAACAGTTTGATAAGAAAAAGCATGGTTGTAGTTATAGAGGGTATGCATCGGTAGCAACTAGCAACCATTTACTGAAATTTCTCTCTTGAGTTGTTGATGTGCTTTATCACTTCTCTCTTGAGTATTAATTTTACTGGCATTTTTTGTCACAACAATGGACAATGGTGTGATAGTGTGGAAGAAGCGCTATTGTACTTTCTGCAGTATGGCACTGCTAATATTGCAGTGGTCGAAATTATTTCCTGATTTCAGTCTTTTTTTCTGAGTATGTCTTTACAGCTAGTCTTACAGACAACATCGCTTCACTGTGAAAATGGTATCTGACTTGATGCTAGGTGACCAATTTGTACTTCTTGTGATGGCAGACCAATTTGTATCTGGCTTTGCAGCGATGATATGTTTCTACAATTATTTATAAGGATCAAAGGTAAAACTAGTCGGAACCAGTTGATAAATGCCACAAATTACTGCTCTCTGCGGTCAGATGCCTGGGTAGCATGTGAAATCTGATCTAGTGACATTGTGATCTAGCCATTTGGTGAGGTCATTTTGCTCCCAAGACATGGTTTCATACTGCAGTCAAAGCAAAATTCCTTCTTTTGGAAATAAGGTAGTTGCATTGAGACAACGGACATGTGTTGTGTGCTTAAAACATGATCAGTTTGCGAGTGATAAATTGTTAGGCAACAACATATTGAATTATGTAGTGCTGGAGCAATTTGCAATTGTTTGCTTGTAAATTGCATCCGATTGGGTTTTGGTTTGTTTTGGGCTTTTGGCCCTCGAGAAATTTCCAGGTGACCTGAAGTTGACAGAGAGGTTGAGTGATGTTTCTGTAGCTAGCCTGTGATAACACGCATGTTCATTGTGATGAATTTTTGTTTTTTTTTTGTTTGTGTATAAAGACAGTTAAGAGCTAAAGTAAGTTTTATTTGATGTTTACTTGATATATGGAAGTAATGAAGATGGTTTTCTAATGTCGTCCAAGGGAAGGAAACAAAGCTATATTTGATAGTGTGTGATTAGAAGACTAACGAAGATGGATATTTAATTTTTGACATGAGCAATCTTATTTGTAACTTTATGTAAAATGATCTGTTAATTTCTCGAAGTCGTGCATTGTCTTATATGTTCATACATGCACAAGATTTCCTTTTTTCAGAGTTTTCAGAATTTTATAGTTTATAAATCTTTTCTTAATTTTTTTGGATGAAACTTCCATTTATACTTTAATTTTGTAGCAGACATATATTTTTGAATCGAATATGCGTATATTTGGTGCTCAGCATTTTTTTTAATTTTGGCATCCACCGACAATAATTTGTTGGAGTCAGATGTGAAGTTTCTGCTGATCCTAAACGTCCTTCCAAATCTGTGCCTGATGCAGGTTCCCCTAGTTCCACACAAGGATTGAGTGGTGGGCAGGGTTCGGACCAAATTCACGTGTGGAGGGCCTAAGGTGATAACTTGGTTCCCGCAAATGCAGCAAGGTTAAGAATGTTTCAGCAAACGCGCGTAATTGCCAAGTTCAGGGGAGGAGGAGGAAGGGTGCTGTCACGTAGCACCTTTTCCAACTCCACACGATCAAAGTTACGCTTGTCCTCAAAAGCTTGCATCTCTCTGCACATTTTCATTGGGGATACAGCAAATGAGAAGTGGTGGCAGGGAGCCTCTGCTGCCATACCATAGGCATTTCTCACGGATGAAATTAGTTAGCAGATTCCATTTCCAACTATCATCAGATATCCTTGTATATCGCGTCTACACAGGAGAGATTCAGTGCTCCTACAGGGCTCTGGACCTCTGGTTGTCGTGCAAGAAACTGACCCGAGCTGCAGCCATGGTGGTAGAATTTTTTTTTCAGCCATGGTGGTAGATGGAATCATGGAGCACAAGCTGGCATGCTTTGACTTGGAAGACGGGATTCCAGATGTAGACGGGCCTGTTTGTGCCGCTCCGGCGCTGACTGTGGCTCAGCCGGCAGCTCTGGCACCGAAGCAAATGGAGCCACACCAAACACACGGAGGAGGAGCTGTTCTAGGCTATTTTATGTTCCAAACAAAAATTTTGTAGATTCTGGACCGTACGACAGAGTTGGAGCCATTTTTTTTTTTTGGTGTAAAAGAGGCGAAGCTTTGATTTTTGATTTGAGGCTCCTGTCTCCGGCTCTGGCTCCGGCAGTGGAGTGGGATCAGCACCAAACATGCCCGTACTGTCCACATCAAGCACCATCACTGGATCTGCGCCTCTGATCTGAAGAACTAGTAGTTCTGGCATCTAGCCTGCTGATGGAAACAGTGAGCATGATATGCACTCAATGAATTGCACATGAACAAGATTTGGTAGATTAGGCTCCAGCTCTGTGTGCATAGCCATCTGGGTAAATAAAATCAGGAAACCCGATACACAAAATATATAAACTTGGCAATGGAATAAGTATCTCACAGGCTTGTTGAATTCTCAGAATCTCATTAGCTTTCCATCAGAGACTGGATATTGTGGAGACATAGTATTGGGGAGAGTAATTTTGATTCAATCTTCAAAATTAATGACAAATCAGTTTTTATCGTACTGTACATCATGTTTTCCAATTTACCAAGCAGATCATTATCTGTTCATTCATCTATGTACATTGCAGTAACAGCGCCGCAGGGCTCTATATGAACACAGCATTCTTGAAAGCCTCTTTCAAAAATTCAATACCAAGATCACTGAGACCTTTGCAAACTACTGTGAAACGGAATTCCTTAAGAGATTGGAAATGTTCCGTACTAAAATGAACAAATTTTAAATCTTCTGGATAAGCATGAAACTGTAACTCAAACTTCTGAAGCTTCAGCATGACATCCTGACTGAAGAATACTGGCATGATCCTACAATTGATATAAAAGCTCCTTGAGACTAGGGAAACAAGATTCCTGGATGGTGACACCTTGTGCGGATGGCTCCTTTACGGTGAGCCGAAATCGGATGAGCCTAGGTAATTCTGCAAGTACCCCCTCGTCCATTGCTGCAACAGTTAGCTCCAGATCAGTGAGGTAAGTGAGTGATGAAATCCACTTAGGCACTCTTAGAAAGCCGTACTCGCCTTTTATTTTTAGGCTTTCAAGTGTATCAGGAGGTGCAGATAGAGACGAGTGGAGTTCCAGGAATGGACCCATAGAGTCACCTAACAAACTCAAATGCAGTGATTGGAGCTTGCAGTTGCCAAGTTTACTAATTACCAAAGGTAAACGAGTATCCAGCCTCTCATAATTTGGGTGTACATAGGACAGGTCAAGTTTTCTCAAATTGATTAGCCTAAGTAACTCTTCCATAGCTTTCCTAGATCTCTTACTGGCGGCCCTGATGCATAATGTCTGTAGAGACATCATATTCCCAACCCCTTTGGGTAGTTCTGCTCCACCAGCAAGTAAATGTACCAACTTCTGCAATCGAGTAACTTCCTTTGGCAACTCCCTTATATTTGTTTGTGTTAAGTCTAAGGTCTCCAGACATTGCAAGTCGCCAATCTGCATAGGCAGCTCACTGATCCATGTGCTTTTTAGACTCAAGTACTTCAGGAGGAACAAATCACCAATATTCTTCAGGTGCCTATTGTCTACACCCTCACAGCATTCAAAATCTAACATCCTCAGGAATCTGCACTCTGAAATAGAATTAATGGAACGAATATCCCCATAGATTGTCACTGATCGGGCGTGAGACATATCAAAACTTGACAAGTCAAAACCATCTGTTCCAGTTCTAGAGCTCAGTGATAGCCGACGAACGTTACGTCGTTGTGTGGATGAACCCCAGCGATCGCCTACAAGTGTAACAAAGTTCTCTTCGAATGACTTCATTGCAACCAGTTCAAACATAACATCATGAATTCTGCATGCATGAGCTTCACCACGACAATCAACATCCACAGCCTGGATCATGTTCCTTTCTACTCATCCATCGCAGGAAGTAGCGGAAAGCTACTTCAGTAAGCTATCCACAGCCTGGATCATGGATACCAGGGAGTATTAGCTTACTGAAGTAGCTTTCCGCTACTTCCTGCACACTCATACCAGGTTTTTCAGCAACAAACCTGTCGGGGACCTAATACCAGGGTACCCCAGAAGGTGGAACCAATAACCATCGAACGTTAAAAACTTCTGGACGGACAAGGGCGTCGCTGCGTTCCTTGCCCGAATGGCGAAAGTTAGGTTCCGTCTCGCCCGACGCCTTTGGGCCAGCCCCGCCTCGCCCGAGGGCAAAGGGCTGGCCTCCGTCTCGTCCGATGCCTTTGGGCCAGCCCTGCCTCGCCCGAGGGCAAAGGGCTGGCCTCCGTTCCGCCCGACACCTTCGGGACAGCTCCGCCTCACCCGAGGGCTGAAGGCTAGTCTCCGCCTCGCCCGAGGGTTGAGGGATACACTCCGCCTCGCCCGACCCCCGAGGGGTGGGCTCGGTCACGCCCAAGGGATAAGGACTGGGCTCCGCCTCGCCTGACGACCGAGGACGAACCTCGCCCCGTTCGATGTCCAGAGACTGGTTTCATCTTACCTGATAACTTCTCTCCCGTCCCCCCATGATGATGGGTACAGAGCAAGACAAGACGTTCGGGTCAACCACGGCCCCAAGGACCATACCCTGCGCCCCGGCAGGAAAGGTATTGCCAGAGAATGACTGGACAGGTGCTTTAGACCCTCCCGGGCACCGCAGAGCCCAAAGGGTATTGCAGGCGCGTACTCCTCGCCCTGTAGAGTTGTAGGCGCCGCCTTCAGCTCTGAGACACGAAACCCGACGAAGATACACGACAACCACTACACTCCAGAAAAGGATTTGTGATATCCACGAATGACGGACATGCCGTCACCGCGTTATGGACCCAAGGGAGCGGCGCCCGCTTCCCGACCCCTTGGGTCCACCAAATCAAAGAACCTTGCCCACAGCGCTACTCTGGACCTCGACTCCGCGTCCCTCCGACAAAGACTCATAGGAGCCAGAAGGCGTGCGGAGCAAGGCTGGACGAGGTCCATAAGTCAAAACCACTGTACTACAGCCCATACCCTGCGCAGGGCACTATTCTGTAACCATCCTGACATTCTACAGAAGCATCGACAGTATTGTAGACGCTTATCATCCTTTCACACCCATCAGAATGGGTAACGAGGCTGGGTAGAAGTGAGCCACAAGGTAGCACGCATCCTAAGACCTGACCCTTGTAAAGCCGTCCCCTTCATCTATAAAAGGGGATGCGTTTCCTCCAGCAAGGGGGGACCGAAACAACGCAACACACACACATAGTCAAGCTGCTACCAAGCTCTTGACTTCCTTTCGACCCTTCCATCAGAGAATTGGGACATGTCCCTCTCTCGATCGTTTGTATCCCCTACTACGAACCATTCACGGTGCTAATAACACGAGCAACAACAAACTGGACGTATGGATATTCAGCCCGAACCAGTATAAACCTTGTGTCCTTTAGCGCACCATCCGAGCCTAACGCGCATTACTATAAATTTACTTGCCGGTGCTTGTACGAAACACCGACAGTTGCGCGCCAGGTAGGGGCCTTGCGTGTTCTAAATCAGGCCTCGGATGGCCACCCACGCAATCAGCTGGGCCCCGGGCGCACATGTGAGTTTCGGCGACCTAGATTTCATCGTCACACTAGGAGGAGAACTGACGCTGACCCACACGGCCGCACAACCTCTCCCTTCCATCAACCTCAGCCGTCTGAGGCTTGAAGGCCTACGGGGCGACTCCCTTGGACCCCAGTTATCTAGGGAGCCCCCGCGCAGCATCACCTTGTTTCCGGAAGGCCCCATATGAAGCGCCCCGACAACGTTTCCATTCAGTCTCCGCAACGTCGCGGCGACCGCCGACCACCTTCTGGCACTACGCATGGTTCAGCCGCCTACGGACAGCGAGTTCGTGGGGGTAATCGAACACTTTCCGAAGACACTCTATGGGCTCCTCGCGGAGGAACCAGAGTCATCCTCCAGCTCTAACTCTAGCAAGGGGAGCCATCACCCTTCCCGGGAATGCTTCATGATGCAAACCCCCGAGGGACACGTCCAAAGCGTCTCCGGAGAAGAAACAACCCCAACAGGCAACCCCGATGCCAGGATCAAGGCGGAGACGGCGGCTCCATCTCACGTAAGGATGGAGCAGCTGAGAGCACGAAAGCTGGAGATCGATGACGCCGGGCAACAGCTTGTCCGGGAGTACCGAAACATCGAGGAGGAGATCAAGCGTTGCGGAGACGGTGGGCACGCGCGCGCCTCGGCCCGTGATGTGCATTGGAGGATCCTCACCGATGATGGGACTCTCCCTCACTTCGCTCGGGCAAGCCAGAACATTGCCGCAGCGGCAGCCTTGCTGCACGGCCTTCCGGAGGCCACGACGTCCGAGGATCGCCGCGCCCGTCGAGAAATTCACACGTTACTCGAGCGTGCGGTGGCGCAGCAAGCGAAAAGCTCGTTATCTCAACGACGCGAACCTGACACCAGCCAGCGCACGCCCTCGGTACATCCCGCCAAGGACGCGTCCGTTCACCAGACGCCGCCAGGCAACCGGCAGCGCTCCGCTATCCCGGTACATCAACGTCTCGGCCACAACCGTGACATGTGCATCACCATCGACGCCCGCAGGCGCACCCATGGCGACGAAAGAGAAGGAGCCCATCGCTGCTATTATCCTCGACGCGGCGGACGCTACGACAGCGGCGAGGACCGGAGCCCGAGTCCCAGCCTGCCAGGCCCTCGGGTCTTCGGCCGACACATCCTCAACGCTACGTTCCCCCCGAGGTATCGACCACCCACCAATATCCTAAAATATTCTGGAGAATCGAACCCCGGGCTTTGGCTCGAAGACTATCGGCTTGCCTACCAAATCGGTGGTGCGAGTGATGACAATTTCATTATTCGCAATCTCCCGCTATTCTTTGCCGATTCGGCATGAGCGTGGTTGGAGCACCTACCGTCCAACGCCATTCAAAGTTGGGCAGATCTCATGGAGATCTTTGTGGATAACTTCCAGGGCACGTACAAACGCCCTGGAAACCCATGGGACCTTAAGAACTGCCGCCAGAAGGCCGATGAAACTCTCCGTGGGTACATCCGGCGCTTCTCCCAGCAGTGCAACGAGCTCCCTAACGTTGCCAACGCCGACGTGATAGGAGCCTTCCTATCCGGGACAACCTGCGAATCCCTGGTCCATAAGCTAGGACATAGGGGCCCGCGGACCACCAAGGAACTCCTGGACATCGCCACCAGCCACGCCTCAGGAGAGGAGGCGGTCGGAGCCATCTTTGACCGCACCGACGACAAGGCAAGGCGAGACGAGGCCACCGACGAAGGCGCCTCCGACCGTCCCGCCAAGAGAAAGAATAAGAAGCAACGGCGCGACAACTCGCTCGTGGCCGCCGCCGACCGTAAAGGTGGACGGAAGCCCGCGGAAGGCACTCCGAACCACTTTGAAAAAATGCTCGATGGGCCATGCCCAAACCACGCTTTCTCGACCAAACATCTATACAAGGAATGTGGCCTCATACGCAAATACTTGTCCGGGGGTCTCAACAAAGGGGAGCAAGGGAAGGAACCCGCCCCCAGGATAGACGACGTCGAGGAGAAGGACGACACCTTCCCGACTCCAAACGGTGCCCTCATGATCTTCGGAGGATCAACGGCCTACGACTCCAAACGCCGCCAAAAGGTCGCACGCCGCGAGGTCTATACGGCCAAACCGGCCATGCTTGCCTTCCTCCGATGGTCAGAATCCGCCATAACCTTCGACCGGGCCGACCACCCGGGCGCCGTCCCACACCCAGGAAGGTACCCGCTTGTCGTCGACCCGATCATCGGCCCAAAACCGCTCACAAAGGTACTGATGGACGGAGGCAGCGGCCTCAACATCATGTACGCCAAAACGCTCGACGAGATGGGCGTCGATCGAACGAACCTCCGTCCCATCCGAGCACCTTTCCATGGTGTCGTACCTGGTAGGCAGGCCATGCCACTGGGGCAGATCGATCTGCCTGTCACTTTCAGGGATCGGTCCAATTACAGGACTGAGACCCTCACCTTCGACGTAGTGGGGTTCCCTCCAACTTTTCACGCCATCCTGGGACAACCGTGTTACGCGAAGTTCATGGCCGTACCCAACTATATGTACCTTAAGCTGAAGATGCCGGGCCCCCGCGGGGTCATCACCATCGACACCTCCTTCCAGCGCGCTTATGAGTGCGAAGTTGAATGCTGCGATCACGCCTCCACAGTCGTCGCCACCAAAGAACTCGCCACCCTCAGGGAGGAGGTTGCCGAAAAAACGCCCAATGCCAAAACAACAACCGGGTCGTTCAAACCAGCAGAGGGCTCCAAGGAGGTCCACGTGGACCCCAGCAGCTCTGAGGCTAAGAGGGTACGTATTGGTACTTCGCTCTCTTCCGAATAGGAAAGCACGCTCGTCGACTTCCTCCACGATAACAAGACATCTTTGCGTGGAAACCCTCGGATATGCTAGGCATCCCGAGGGAGGTCGCCGAGCATGCTTTAAAAATCCACCCAGACTCCAAGCCGGTAAAACAGCGCCTACACCGCTTCGACGAAGAAAAACGCAGGGCCATCGGCGAAGAGATAGCAAAACTATTGGCCGCTGGGTTCATCAGGGAAGTATACCACCCAGAGTGGCTAGCAAATCCCGTTCTTGTACGAAAGAAGAACGGGAAATGGAGGATGTGTGTCGACTACACGGGCCTCAACAAGGCATGCCCAAAGGATCCGTTTCCTTTACCACGCACTGACCAAATAGTTGATTCCACCTCAGGGTACGAAACCCTCTGCTTCCTTGACGCATACTCTGGCTACCACCAGATCGCGATGAAAGAGTCCGACCAGCTCGCGACGTCTTTATCACCCCCTTCGGATTGTTCTGCTACGTTTCGATGCCGTTC